ATTTCTGGGCCCTACCCTGGAGATTCTAAGTCTAGAATGGGGCCCATGAACACAAATTTCTAATAAATTCTTAGGTGATATCAGTACTGTTGGTCCATGAACCATGTTTTGAGCAGCCCCATTCTGGAGAATAAATTTCCTTGACCACAGCTCAAACTTGTGTGTGCCGCCACTTATAGGAACCGTAGACGTGGCAGACACAGTGGTTTATTTTCTAGATGCAAAATGCATGTCCAAGGAGAGCCCGAGTCTGGAGAGAGGCGAGGGTGCACTGCAGGAGCCAGGAACTTCCCATCTGTGTAGCCTCAGAAGCCCAGCCATGCTGAGTCTTCACAGGGCTGTGCCCCACGGAATCACTCAGGCTTCCTAGGGCCTCCCCATCTCGTGACTCCACCATCTTAGAATGGGCTTCCAAAGTCTCAAAGACAGTGAACATAGAGGTTTACACTTGATTTTCACAGCCTCCAGACAGAATAACACACCACTTGCACTTCCTGATGCTTAACCCTAACTACAAGGGAAGCTGGGAGATCTTCCTGTGTGCCCAGGAAGGAGAACTGGACAGGGTGACCACTAGTGACTTCTCCCACAGAGAGAAAGTCCAGGATTCCCTGGCACAGTGTCGGGGGACCAGGGCCCAGAGTCCTCAGCTCCTCCTCCTGCCCCCACCATTTCCAGGCCCCTTGGTCCACCCATCTGAGCCATTCTCCCTGGAAGTCTCAAGGACAGAATGGGTCATTTGCTCTATCAGCACATGTATATTTCAGAAGTTCTGGGCCAGCAGTGGGCTGACATGGTCTCTCACCTCGCAGAATGCACAGTCAAGTTAGGCAAACTGGCAGGAAACAAAAACGTAGTTCTGTAAGTTCAGGCATGTGGGGTGCTGTGGAAGAAAAGAGCTGAGCAAGGGGCTTGGCCTCAGCAGGGAGTCGGGGGGGGGGGCTCTCGGGAGGCAGGACAGAGCTTCATTCGGAGCTACTAAGGAGTGACAGGAGGAGGACCAGACCAGGACCCACAAGGTTTGTAATGTCACATTCTGTCCCCACTGCGTTCAGGAGCTTTTGAGGTTCTAAGCATGGGAGTAGCGTGGTTGGTGTTGGAGTTTCATGAGCTGATAACTAATATTTACTGAGCAGCCTGCACATCCAAATTATTCCCCTTAATCTTTATGGTCATCCCATGTGATAGAGACTTTATCAACAGCCCCATTGTCCAGATGGGAAAACAGCAGCTAATATAGATGAAGTAACTTGCCCCAAGGTTGTGTTACCCAGAAAGGTAGAGCTGGGATCCCAACCTCAAGCCTACAGCCTTTCCCCCTTCACTGCAGAACGTCCCCTCTGAGGGCACTGTTGATGCAGGATGGAGGCGCGAGAGCAGGTGCAGAGCTGGCCCAGGCACTCACATCAGCCTGTGAGGAAGAGACGGCAGCTTAGGAGCAGCAGGAGCGGGGAAGACTTCGGATTCCAGATAAATGATTTGGAACTCCACGGTCGCTTGAGGACAAGGGCTGAGGGGAACAGAGATGATGGGGACAAGCCCAGTTTTTGGCTCAGCCATCTGGATGGCTGGTCATTTAGCAAGGACACAGGAGGAAGAGCAGTTCTGGAGAACTTTAGATGTCCCCAGAACTAGCAGCGCCTTACCTGGAGATCGTGTTGTGCAATTATCACAACTAGTTCCACCTCTAGGAGTGCTTGGAGAATGGGCACAGAGCCTCACCATTTGGGTAGAAGCACCAAATTCTCAAGGCCACCAAGACCAGGCAGGTACTGTGGTGAATGAAGCCATCTGGGTATAAGACTGTTTGGGTGCTCATGCATGCCCTGTCCAGAGGCACTGCCCCTCCTGGGACCACGTCTCAATCCCACTGATGAGGAAGCTCAGGAGCTCTCGGGGTTCTAAGCGTGGGAGTAGCGTGGTTGGTGGTTGGTGGTGGTGCTGGGCACTTAACTTGTTAGACTTGTTTAATCCTCACAACCTGTGAGACTGTTACCAGATCTTCTGATGCTTCAAGAGAAGCCAGCGGTCCCAGTTAAGTAAAGTTTCCTGAATTTTTAATGTCAGTCATTTGTATTTTTAAAACATGAGAAGAGGGTGGTGCCTGTGGCTCAAAGGAGTAGGGCACCAGCCCCATATACTGGAGGTGGTGGGTTCAAACCTGGCCCTGGCCAAAAACTGCAAAAAAAAA